GCATTCGTCACATTCTTTTAGAAGTTTTCTGATGTAGAATTAAAAGTGTTCAAGCAGGGCTCTGCGTTTATAATGACAAAGGCAGGGAAGGAAACACAAAATACTTCGTTTCAAATACAAGTTCTTGTTTATTCCCCATAGAATTCGTTTTGTGTATGAGCCAACATTCTATATAACGAGTCTTGGGCAGACTGAGCTCCGTGGACCACTAATGATCAACGTAACACTCAGTACACCTCGGAACTGGACAGAGGCAAAACCTAGACTCATTTACTGGGACAGAGGTGAATAGATACACTGAAATTACCATTATTTTCTTTGCTCTGAATAAATTATGAATGTGTTAAGTTTCATTTTGTAATAGTTTACTCAGGCACTTTCCTTTTATAGGACCCCAGTGAAAAGGCCCCAGTGGGCATCCAAGAAGAAATCAACCGTCCTTTGTTTCTTAAGTTGATCTTTGTATTGTTAAGTGCAGTGTGTGTTTTTGTGAATTTAATCCAAATTATAACTGTGAATTGATTAGGCCAGAGTCCTTAGCTGACAACGTTTTAAAGGGGAGCGGATGTTTATGATGTTATGTGCCAACCAACCCTTAGTGAAGCTGCAACAAAAAAATCATTATGTGTGGTTATCCGCATGATAACCACACTTTTACCGTCATAAATCGTACCTTTGTGTAGATAACTCTGAATGGAGAGATGCAGCCAAGACGTGCAGTGATGTAGATCGGATAACCTACCTGGACGATGGGAACAAGGTCAATGTTGAGGTTGGTGATTCTCCTGATAGGCCTACTTTATAGGCCAACATTTAAGGAGACACATCGGAAACACAGTTATATTCCACAATTTAAAACAATAGCAATGTCGTTTTAATCTGAACAATCTAGACTAAAGCAGGGTTTGAAGTTGGTATGACTTGCAGTTTACTATGTGCCTCATCTGTACAATTGGCACGTTAATTCTGAAAATAATCCGAGCACTCTGATTTAAATGTTGAGTGTTTACCCATGCATCAGTTCCACTAAGAACTCCTTTTCACTGTCTTCACGGCGCTGCCATAAACATCTAATTTTCCATCTTTACAAAGTAAGAATCTTAACTCTTAATTATTTCAGCCAATTATGCTTTGTTTCATTACTTATCTTTCGGCTAAAAAAGGAATCTGTGCTTCTTTTACCTTCGCGTGGTAGGTTTGTTCTACATGGGCTCCTGCCTCGTCATCCTCAGAGCCAGGTCGAAAGCGACGTTCTGTGCAAGAGGAGTCTTTCCCATCTGACACGGCTTACTTCAGCCATGAGACTCAGTTTGCATTGGCTGAGGTTCTTGATGCCATCCCGAATACCCCGCCTGTAATCATAAACCTGGTAGAGACTATGTTCATGAATGAAGATGAAGGTTAGTATATCCATGGCGGAAGAATGCATCTGGAAAAATAGCCCGTATGCTAAAATTCGAATATAAAAGAAAATATGAAAGATGTGGGGCATTGTTTAATTTTTTAAGAAGTTTAGTTAACGATTCAAACACATTTCCTAGAAATCCAGATGTTAACACTAGAATTGTTCTACTTTGTTTGACCACGGAATCTACACACAAGGATAAACGACTGTTCGGAGCTTTACTACATAATGCACCGAGCGGACTTGTCTTAATTGGTTGGACGCGTGACAACGGATACCAGTTGGTTTGTAATCGCGTATTTTCCAGGTGTACCACTGTGTCGTGTTCTTTTTTTCGCATGACATCTAAAACGGAAATATGCATGAAACTGTTAGCAAAACTACTCCTTATATAAGATATAATGTTCCAAAATTGCTTTAAAAAATAAATACTTTAGGATATTACAGACAGTATTGTGCATTTTGTGTCGTCATAGATGAAGTATTTACCCGGGAAATAAACCAATTTCGAGGAAAACACCATTTACCCCAATTTTGTGTTTAATTAGGCTTTCATTAAGAAGTTTTTGAGAGATTTGGTCCCGAACCGTTGAAAGAAAAATATCATTACATAGCTCATTTAAATGCCAAAGATACTGTGGTCGGCGTTATCATGGCTGTGAAGTTATCACTTATCAGAATCTTATCACTTATCAGAATAATAAAGACCAAAAACATAGACTCATTAATATTCACAAATATAACTAGCTGGCTTGATAGATTTCGACACCAGATCGGGCGCAGTGCCCTGCAAGTCTGAAAGCCGCCGCGCGCAGGGGTCTTTGTTCACAAGTATTCGTGGTATTTGCCACCTGTGCGGTCTGTTATCACTCGTCTAACCAGGAGTTTGGCCGAGTCGTTAATCCTTGTGTGTAGAATCCTTGGTTTGCCAAGTATCCATCAATATATATATTGTTACATTTTGGGAACAAGTAGCTAATATGTTAAATTGGTTGCTGAAGTTTGCTTTTATTTTGCTTTTATTATTTTCTGCACACTTGCCTTATTATTGCAGGAACTTTGGTGTACACATTCCAAGCTAGCGATGCTGAAGATGACATCTTAGTCTTTGAGCTTGGTAGTAACAAGGACGTGCAAGGGACAGCAACAATTACGGAAACTGGTGAATTCAGCTATACACCTTGTGCTGATTGCCATGGTACTGTCACTCTGCAAATCACAGGTAATATTTTGGGTGTTTTTTTTTAAATCACTTTTTGCCAGGCACGTTTGACATCATGTGCTTCTCAGTATAGCATTTTCTTATTATTAAGCACTTCAAAGTAGCCCTACTATGTAGTTGTTTGTTACAAGTCCAATTGTTATGTCTGTAATCTGAACGGTTCGGTTCGGTTCGGTTCGGTTCGGTTCGGTTCGGTTCGGTTCGGTTTGGAGGTCTGTGGTACAATTACAAATCGGTTAGATTTTGGAAGTGCTCAGGATCTGGGTTACCGGTTAAATTAACCCTAGTTGCGACTCTGCAAAGCGAGTGCCAATTAACAAGCGTCTAGCAGCCAGTCCAGATGATAATATTCAGGCCAGGCCGTGACACTTGGCCATACGGCTGGCAATAATTAACGCACAAGTCTATTATGGGAAGTGGCTGAGCAGTGGCTTCCAAAGGTGCGCGTGTTGTGTACATGTACATAACCGTAGCCAAGTGATACAGACGCAGCCTGGACAGAATGAAAACAACGAGTTAACAGTTTTCTTGTCACAAGAGGGCCACGTTATGCATGGCTCGTAGTGTGTTTCATTTTTTTTCTGGGTACACGTTAACACCGTGACATGGATACTATCGTGATTGCTTGCGCAGCTGGCACAGGACTTGTGCCAGTGTGAAGTCTCGATTTACCTCGTGCCATTAACAATGATTAACTCGTTATTCTGGACATTCTTCTGTAACTGGAAATTCTTCTGTAACTGGATTTTCGTCACATGGAAAGCACGTACTGCACACACCCACTGTGCAAACGATATACGTGAAGAGTTTTAAAGGTGTCGACCGGGGTAAAGTTTTGCGTATTAAAATTAGGCATACATATCTTTTTTTGATGCAAGTTAAGAAACATGGAGCTACACAGAGACGTGGGTTGACTAGCAACAGCTCTCAAAGTTTGGTCTCCCAAAAAGTGGTTCCCAAAAATTACGGCGTGGGGTTCGGGGCCCGCTTAAGGACCCGGAGGTGGGGTTTTTTATTATTATTATTATTATTTTGATTCTAGATGCTCGGTGGTGCGATCTGAGGCATTTTCTGACCACTTTGACCAATTTGAACGCCCTTTTCGTAACCTTTTTGTCCTAGGTCAGCGATTGCCGGTGTGGAAGGTAATTCTGTCCCCCGGTAAAACTGTCCGGGGGGACAGAATTACCTAGGTAAAAGTGTCCTCCCCGGCCCGTTAATTCTGTCCCCCCCCCCCCCCAGGTAATTTTGTCCCCCAGGTTTTTTTGTCCCCCTCTTTTGAAATCCGGAAGGCCAGTTCTCTTTATTGTTTTTATGAATTCACTCTACAAGGTATACATTTTGGACGTTTATTCTGCCCTTCATGAATATACAAATTTAATTTTGTCTATTAGATGATAATGTGAACACAATGTTTCTATTTGGAGTACGGTGAAATCGCGATTCTACTACTGCTTGGATTGGTCTGTGTTCCCATCATAGCGCGTAACGAAATTTCCTATTGGATGAATTTCCATTGTAGGGGGAGACGCATGTACACATGTGATAATCACTGCCACATATCTTGCAGCATGTACTGGCGCTCGCGACACGCTGCTGCTCTCAGTATATACTGCATGGGGACACATTTACCAGGGGCACACTTTCACCGTTAGGCAGGGGGACATTTTTACCTGGAGGGGGACAAATCTACCTAGGTAAAAGCAAGGGCGGATCCAGGGGGGGGGGCAAAGGGGGCCATGGCCCCCCCCAAAAAAAAAAACTTTTTTGTTTGTTTTTATGTGACATCGCAATAAAGGCCTACAATGAGTACACCACCATCTTTTCCTCAAAAAAACATTGGTTAAAGTGGTCAGAAATTGCCTCAGATCGCACCACAGAGCATCTAGAATCCAAAACATTTTCGGGGCCCTTAAGCGGGCCCCGAACCCCACGCCGTAATTTTTTTGACCCACTTTTTGGGGGGACCCAAAAAATGTTTGGCCCCCCCCCCAAAAAAAAATTGTGTTCTGGATCCGCTCTTGGGTAAAAGTGTCCCCGGACACATTTACCGGGTCACGAGCCGGTTAATGTGTCCGGGGGGCACATTTACCAGGGGGACAGAATTACCTGGCACACCGGTGTTTACATATTCGCAGACACACCTGCCTACGCCGTCCAGAAACAGATATTTTTTTTCACAAGACAGCGTGCAAAATCATGTGGCCCCCCCCCCCCCGAACAAACAAACCTTCACTGAATAAGAACAAGATCTAAAGTAGAAACACAGTTAGGTTCCACCCACAAATTCTGGAAAAGTACCTCACTAAACAAAACTCCATGAACAGATCTGAAACACTATAGTGAACACTAGACAAGAAACATACATGGGGTTATATAAGCAGTGTTTATTTTTGAAGTTCTCAAGTTTGTGTAAGTCTTAAACTACCCATAGCGTTCGGAAAAAATATTTTAATAGGTAGTTTAGCGTCCTCTATGGCAATCCAGAATAAATACCTTTTGCAAAATGGCCTCCGGTTTTCGGTTTAATATTTGAGCTGCGGCTGTGCAGAATGTTCGTTTGTTACTAAACAGTACTGTAACTAGGTAACGAACTAACTAATTAACGGAAAGACATGATGATTTGTTGGGCGGTTGTCCACAGCTAAACAAAATGCATGTGTAATATTTTTCAACTCAATGAATTTTCCTAAAATTCCTTTAATATTTAGGTCTGACACAGAGAATCCTACGAGTTTTTATCAATAAAATCCTCCTAACTGAACTATCAAATTAATGACAAGCATGACGGTCACTGAGTTGCACATTTTGCACGGTTTTGGTGTTTTGATTAGGTTTATTATTTTAGTCTTTGATTTTGATCAACAAGATTTCGGGGATGTTTGCATTTTGAGAGATTATCCGGCCACCAACCAATATTTGTCTACAATCTACTTGTTGATTAAAGATGTCATCCCGTCAAGTTGTATGGGTCATCTTTCACGAAAATACAATGATTTTTTAGTTCATTATAGGAACCCCAGTTTAAAGGTATTTTCATAATGTTAAATTTTGTTACTGAAATGGAATTCGAGATGCTATCTGAATATCTGCCATGAACGAGTATAGCTATGGCAAAGGAGATCTAAGACGAAATACTTCCATCAAAGTTCGGTTTGACGCGGGGATTTTTTTCTTTCTGAAATGAAGGCGCAGATGAGAGGTCAGACGCTAGGGAGAGGCAGAGCGGTGATACTTGCCTCCTTCTTATCTCCCGCCAGCGAAGGTTATTACCATTGCCACGCACAACAGCCACTAGGATCTGTAGTGCAAGGATCCTCGAAATAGCCGCAGCCTACGTCATCCCGTACTAGAGAAAAAAATAAAAACTAATTATTCCTTAAACAAAATACAATTTGGCACATCGATCCCAATGACAAATACTCTCACCCATTAGGTCTACATATGTCTCTTATTTCAACCCAAATTAACTTTTTCCCCAGTTTAGAAAGAAACATAATTGGACAGTCCTGGCATTATTCCTGGGACATCCACTCCCCATCCCCCGCGACGAACGTCTTTTGGGCTTAAATTTCTTGTGTTGTTCTGCTTCTTGTGTTTTGGGCTGTGTGTTGCTATGGAGAGTACCCCTTGGCCCCCACCCCACTTGGCACAGCCCATTATTAGGAGATGGCTTGGCCAGATGATTAACCCCTCCCTTTATTCTCGATCAGCCACAGACAACATGAGGTCAACATCCAACTTTTAGTAACATTGAATCGCAAGGGCAATGTGAACTTTTGAAACTTTTATACATGCGATAAAAATGAATTGTCGTTCAACAGAATCAGGTTGACCATTCAACCCAACTACAAACAATATAGTCAGAGTATTACACATACCTTGACGTTCTTCACTGACTGCATGTTGGCCAGAATCGCCATCACTCCGTCCTACGAAAAAAAAACCACAAAACGGCACAAAAAAATGATTGTTTGTTTATGAATTATGATCTATCAGCTTAATTGCCAACTACCTCCATTTGAATTATTATTTGAACTTTCCTATACTGTCCTATCGCGTTAAATGATTGCAGAGAACTTAAACTGCTGTTTTTTGGAATCTCCAATGCAAAACAGAATAAATTACGTTTTGATGTGTAAGGTATTCCTAATGTATAATAATAATATCGGAGTCTTATATAGCGCACGCTTCTACCAACTATTAGGTACTCAAGGCGCTGGAGATATGTCTATTATTAAATAAAGGTAAATAAGGTTTATGAGAAATATGAGACCCATTATGTAGCACCTTATAAGGGTTTACAAGGCGCTGCGGCGAATATATTGCAGCCACTGCCAGAAACACCGGGGCAAACCCCTTCTCTTAGCGACAAGTGTTACTGGGTTCTTTAACGTGCATTACACAACACACGGGACCTACGACTTTATGTCCCATCCGAAGGACGAAGCAATAATAGTAAAGTGCCTTGCTTAAAAGCACAAGCACCATGTTCCCACGGTCAGGATTCGAACCCATGTTCCACGGCACACGAGTCGAACGCCCTAACCATTGCACCACAGCACCCCAACATAAGACCTATATGTCGCGTGTGTTGTTATATTTACCTTGCAGACTAGCTGCTTCACTAGTCATCACAGTACCAGCAATCAAGCCGATTATCAGAAGAGTGACCAGTAACATCTTCATTGTGAGAAGTGGGAAATTCAATGCCGTTCAAAGGAAATGTCTGTGGATCTGTCGCCAAAAGAGAAAAAGAACAATAGGAACGGGTCAAATTCGAATACCGATCTTATCCTTCACCAGCAACAAAACAATTGCTCACTATCTTCGGGGTGCATAACAACTTAACCTGTGGCAGTTTCAGCTCAGTGAGAAACAGAAAACACATGTACCATACTTATAGGGTTTCATAACTGGATCCCGTTGCTAAAACTTGCTAAAGCCCGGTTCAACATACTCCAAGCGAACGCGAATGCGAAGCGAATTCGAAGTCATGAAACATTCGCTCATGCGAAATTCGCCCGAGTTGAAAATGTTCAACTTACGAATTCGCAGCGCGAATACTTGCCATTACGTCACAATTCGCGTTCGCTTTCGCGCCGAGTATGAACCGGGCTTAACACAGTAAAAACAAAGTGCGCTCAAGTCACGGAAGTATATATTGCAAAGGTTTTTCTATCGTTTCTAAACATGGTTTTAGCACACACAAAAAGGTCCGAGTGAAACGCCACCTTGTCACCTATAAATTATAAGCAGTCAAGAAAAAAGAACAACTATTATGTCATGTACACGTACATGAAAATAACGTTCGAATACTTACGTATCTTCAGTGTACTTCTCTGTTCTTTGTATCAAGCAACGCTGCAGTATGCTGTCTGGTTGATGTCAGAGACAATCATTCTCTCAGTGACAGCAGGAAGTTTATATATTTCCAAACCGCTCTTGTAATACAAACTCAACAGACCACCAAATTGCATCATTGTCTACCAAACCTGACTGTAGACGCTCATAATTATCTACAGATGTACAGACATTAGTGTCGCCCATCAAATCCAACCATGCATGTCCGTGACAGATCCATGTCAATATTGTCGTTGTGAAATTTGAATTCGTTGGCCATTCTCTGGAAAAGTCATTGCGTTTTTAATCGCGTGTTCTATGTTTCTTTTCATTATTGAGACCATTATCCACTCCAAAACCTAGTCGAAGTGGTCAGAAAGGTGTTAAGATCACAATAAGTGCCTACTTCATAATTCAGCGTGGTTTGTGTAGTCACATATACTGAAATGAAGTTGAGTACAAGCCGATGATCGGATGAGCGGAGGGGAAGGGTGAAAATGCGAGGCGTATAAATAAAGTTTACGGACGTAGTTGTAATTCATAGAAATTGCTTTCCTTTTGCTGCCTTTGGTCAAATAATATAATACTTGATTTGATTTTCTTTAACTAATCAGATATCTCTAGAAAATAAGCAGAATCTGCGGGTGAGGTGTTATAAAACGAACGCAAACTGCTTTGACAAGAGGTACATACTTGCAAACATCAAAAAATAAAACTACCAAGTGTTTCGAAATACCTTACGAAAATGTTGGTAAATGACAGTCTAAAGCATCCTGTATAATTATGGCACCTGGTGTGAAGTCATTTTCAAGAAAAATGGTACTTTTGTATACATTTCCAACGTTGGTCGGCTGATCACCGTTGGAAAAACCTAACTATTTTTCAACCACTGCTCCAAATTTACCATTTTTGTTCCAGTCCAAATGTTGTTTGCTATTGGTTCCATGTTCATGAACGGGTGCACGCCAGCTAGACTGGTCCCCTTACCTTACAATTTTTCCGGCATTTTTGATCCATTTCATCTTCAGTGGAGTCAGGGAACCAGACTACCTGAACATTTTTGTTTTTCTTGGTTTTTCCAGCATTTTCGAACGCAAAACTTCAAACATGTCAGTGTAACAATATTTGATCTATTATACTGACAACCAAATAATTCATTTCTGAAAATTACAGCAAAAGCCAATAATGTACATTCCCTTTAAAACTGTGATCCATGGAGTGTTCAATTTTTCTCAGAACTCGAAGCATTCAGTACCATAATATTCTAGTCCGTTTTCCGAGTAGAGTTGCAATCGTACCTTACCAGATTTCCTCTTGTCTTATGCAGGAAAATTGTATTTTGTACAGTGTATAGCTACGAACCATTCTTTCGTTAGCTCAGAGCAGAATTTTATTATGCCCATGCAAAGACAAAAACGCCATAAAACATTTATTTTTAGATGAAAATAAGTATTGCATAAACTCCAAGAACGTTAGAGGCTCCGTCAAACTCCATATTGGCGTTTACCGATATTGACTCTATTTTTCAGTCCAGCCATAATGTGCAGTATTTTTTACAGGCCTACATTTTCCAGGGCAGCAGCAAAGTTAAAATATAGTAAATAGCGACAGCACACCAATATAGCTCAGCGTGATTTTTTCGCGTGACGCACGCCGGGCCTGTACGCGCAGTGTCCGGTCGGTCATCCACGTGACCGTCCGTGCACGGTGACATCACTTGTGCCGGTGCCGGCAGCCTAGCCCGTGATTCAGCCCGCGGTTCAGCCCGTGATTCAGCCCGCGGTTCAGCCCGCGGTTCAGCCCGCGGTTCAGTCCGCGACTCAGCCGGCAATTTGGTGGATGGTACCCCGAAACACACAGTTATCTTTTTCTCACTCGTGCGGAAAGGAGCCCTGCTGATTTCCTTCGACCTCGTGCGAGTTTTTTTCTATTTCGTTCCTCAAAAAATCACTTTTAGGCTAGTTAGTAAAACTTGTGACGATTTTAAAAGGTTCACTCAAGAAAAAAGTCACAAATCCTGGAGGCATTGAGAGAAAATGACTCGAATGTTTGAACCCTTCTACATTTTCATTGGCCCTTTTTTCATGAATTGGTTGACTGAATGGTATTGGGGGAACAATTCTTCAATGCAAATTAATATTCATGGCCTTAAAGAAGGAAGAACAATTCGTTGAAAGTATTTTCAGCAAGGAGCTCGCATAATTCACCCTTGCACTAGAAATAGGCCTCCTGCCTCCGTGTTGTTGATGAATTGCTCTAGAAAACTAGTCTGAGTATCACCCGTCTTCCACGGAGCCAAGTCTCCTGTCTAACGCCTAATATGTCTAGACATGCAGATATATGCAAGCCGCGCGCCAGCCAATCGGAGTCGACTTTACTAAAATCGTGACTTCATTTCATTCCCAAATCAGGACTAAACTGTGATTGGTCAATTCGAATGCAGTGTTTTTTAATACAACAGCCGCCGCGCGCGTGTCGCGTAACATAATACAGAGCGCGTGACTACGGCCTTTGTTGCTGTGTCTAGCGTTTTTTTTCTATCCATGTCTTGACGCAACAACGGGCAAATGACCCATGACCCAACATAGAAAGCACCCGCTGATTGGTCAAAATCTAGAGGTCGAGATGCGGCTGTCCAAGTTGCATAATTAATCAGCGAATCTATTCAAAAATTATAGACCATGGCTTTCGCCACGGTATATTACATAGACTACTAGAAAACAAACCAGTCAACCAAATTAAAAGAAGAAGAGAAAAAGTATGCAGTCGCCATTTACTCTATTTAACTTTGCTTCCGCCCTGGAAAAAGTAGCCCTGTAAACTGCACATAATGTCTAGACTCAACAATAGAATCAATATCGGTAGACGTCAATATGGAGTTTGACGGAGCCTCTAACGTCCTTGGAGTTTATGCGATATAATTTTTCTCATCTAAAAATAAATGTTTTATGGCTTTTTTGTCTCTCCATAGACACAATAAAATTCTGCTCTGAGCTTACGAAAGAATGGTTTGTGAATATTGTACACTGTAGGAATAATATTTTCTGCATTAAGATAGAGGGAAATTGGTAAGGTACGATTGCAATTTAGAAAATGGACTAAAATATTATGGTACTGAATGCTTCGAGTTCGATTGAGAAAATAAAATCGAACACATAACTTCATGGATCACAGTTTTACTGTACTGACCCCGTGTAAAAGCAGTCTATGTTGATAACGCCTCACCAACATTTTTTTAGCTTATTTTCTAGAGATATGTCTGCTTAATTTAACAAAATCCAATTCAAGTATTATATTATTGGACCAAAGGCAATAAAAGGAAAATGTCTTCTTTGAAAATAAGAATTGCATGCATCAACGTTCATAAATTTTCATTTATATTCCACACATTTTCACCCTTCCCTCTCGCATCATATACTAAACTTCCGTTCAGTATTTTGTACACTTTAATTAATACAAACCACGCTAAAGTAGGCACTTTTTATTTTGACACCTTTCCGAATACGTTGGGGCATGGTCGGGGATTGTCACTTCAATTTTGCCCGAGGGGTGGGGATTTTGTAACTTCAAAAGTGACAATCCCGACGTCTTGGGTTGGGCAGCCAGGGGGGTGGAGGGGTGGGGGAAACTTTGATAGGCGCATAAGTTTTCATGAAATTACAATTGAATGCAGGCGAAGTTTGCACTATCAAGTTAAGTCAATACAGATTTCCACGACGGTGTGCGTCGGGGAGATGATAACCGGTACAGTTCAAATGATCTCGCGCATTTTCGCTTGTGCGTCATCACGTGATTTGTCAACGGTCGAATGCCGTAATGGCGGCAAGTTTATTTTCACAACCTTGTATTACGCGTGCAAGACGTAAACACAGACAGCCCGGTATGTCAAGAACTTGGTCAAAAATGTTTGGCCCGTGGTCGAGGGACGGTGACTCCATCAGTAAAGTGTGATGAGATGACTTGACGTCGAGTATTACCTCCGCCAAGCTTCATCGGTTTTATTTGTTTGTTTGTTTGTTTGTTTGTTTGTTTGCTAGTTGCAGTATATTTTTGATAAATGCAAATTCATGACGAAAATATCTTTGACGCTGTTTCCTTCTTCCTCTTCAGTGAAAGAGATAAAGACTTTAACTGAGCGAGAACCTCTGTCTACTAACGCCAGTTTTACAATTGAAGTGAGACCGATCAACGATATCCCTGTATTGTACAGTGCTATGAATGGCCAGGTTGTTGGCAACGGCCGCATCGATTTGGTAAATTATGTTTCATTCTCTCGCACGAAATATCGATACCTTATATTTAGAAGAATTGTTTGAATCCTAGTGCTTTCCTTCTCCGAAATTGAAGGTATTTTCATTCCTGAAAGAAAGCCTCACTTGAAATCAATTTATGCAAACAATTCACAATCTTGTCCTCTTACGTCTTTTTCAATATGCATTTAAAACAAAAGAGCAATTCACCAACAATAATTAGCTTTTATATTGTTACCTTGTCAACCACAAATATAGGCCCTGGTGATTTTTGCAGGTGTCGTAAGCCTTCACTGTGCCAAACCCTACTTTGTTGTAGCAGTTTGTGACAGCTGAATTTACTTTTTAAAAATTCTCCATTTGTTTTCATGAAAAGCTAACAGTTGAGCAGAACACACTATCCAATGTGGCCTACAAGGACCTGAGGGCTGAGCTTGGAGCGTATGACGTTGACAGCGATGATAAACTGACCATTATAACCCAGCCCCCGACCTATGGCACTCTGACGCTGATAGAGGAAGTAAAGACTGTGCCGTCTACGCAGAAGTGCAGTGAGCCCTCTGGAGACAGGGAGGGGCCAGTCATCCCATGTGGGCTAAAGTTGCCTCGTGAAAAGGTAACCTGCAGTGGTAATTTGTTAATAGTGTTTGGCACGGTTTCTTGCTTACTAAGTGTTCTGTCATGCTGATTGAAGCTCGATTTATAGTGTTCCTCTGCTTTAAAATTTAAGCGTGTGATTAATCACGCTTAATTCATAGAAATATTTATTTTCTGGTGCAGTTGAATCAACTTCGGTTTGATCCCAATCCTGGCACCCTGTTCCAGCACCTTAAGATGTTTGGATCAATTTTTAGAATCATAATTAAG